CCGTCACGACACCTATTTTGCTCATAAAAATCGTTCTACTTAACCGACGCATTCGAAATTTTTACCACAAACCAAGCATTCTACCGCACATCTCTGATAAAAATTTCGTCATCTTTTGTTCAGTATTCGTTATCTTTGTTCAGTGAGGGTTGAGAGCCCAAAAGTTGAAAAAATGTAATTCCGTCAAGCGCGTTTAAGACGATATACAGTATTATTCATAGTAGAAATTCACGGAAATGACAATTAAATCATGAGATACTAACCAAGACCTTCCATCCGCCATCGAACCCTAGGGTAAATAGCCTCTCTCTCTGACATTTCGTATCCTCTGATAACATTCGAGTTTTCTGATAAAAGGTGAACTTATCTGACGCACTAAATCATTCTCTATTTTTTTACATAGACCTTTATCTCACCTTTTTTAGGTTCAGTACGAACAAGGTTTTGTACGATACCTTTTTCATGTGTTTTCAAAAAAGGTTCCATAGAGGTTTTGTACGGATTCTATATATGGATTTCATATAGTTCCTTTTCGTATATTTGTATTGAATTTATTTATTTCTACTGCCTAGCAACAAGAACAACCGAAAAATACAAGTAGTCATAGAAAAGCCACTTATGCACAAAACTTGTCGTTTGAGAAAAAAATCATATTCTAATAGAAATACGCATGAATATGGATTGACAAAATAGAGTAAAACAAAATATTATCAAAAAAATTAGCTGACTTCGCATACAGTAGAAACATATCACCTTGCCAAAGGCACACAAAGGAAAGAGAGGGCAAAAAAAAAGATCAGTCTATTTTGATCACACAAAAAAATCCTCGATGGATAATAAAACTTACAATAGTCTATTATAGTGAATAGATCAGGAATACTTTCAGCTCCCTTGGATTCTTCAGAGGGTGTCCAGAAGCCCTTTTAGTTTTATATTACATTATGTACTTTTTCCGTGGAAGAAAAACTCTTTTTTTCAGAGAAGTTCACATCATTTTTCAGCTATCCTGGCTGCAAACGCCGACCGAAGGAAGGCGTGAGCATTTTCTTGAATTCAGAAATATTTTAGACCTCTAGGGAACTTTGGAGAATCTCGGGAAAACTATTCAGATTTTCATTAGATTACGAATCTTATACAACAAACCAGAGAAATATTATATATTATATAATATACAACATATTTCAGATAGTTCAGTAGCGTACGCTGACCGACGGGAGGCATGAGTGTTATCTTTGATTCAAAACTCATGGAAAGTGGTTCGCATACGATCTGCAGATATAAGTTCCTAAAGTCAAGGAACAGTGCAAGCGAGTGCAAAACGAGCACTATCTTGTCTTGAATACTATGCTAATAAATGGGATAAACAAGCACCCTCTCATATGAGAGTAGCATAGAGAGAGGTATAGTATCAAACGTTTTCTACTACTATACCTTCAAGAGATGTATTATAAAACCTGTTCGAATACGAAACCTTGAAGAGTATCGTACGAAATCTCTTCGATTACTAAATCTTAATGAGGTTTCGCTAATCCGTACATACCTGATTGGTATGAAAAAGTTTCATAGAACCTCATAAGTTTCATACTATACCGTTTTATTTCAGAGTAGTTTCTCGCCTCCAGTCCATTCTTTTCTAGTCAAACTTTCTCAAAATTTATGCCTTTTTGTTTGAGACAATTGGTCTCGAAGGTACAATAGAATATAAGGCGCTGATACAAATACGTAATAAAGTCATCTCTTACCTGATTTTGATGATTAAAACTGAGTAAATTCGTTTTTAATGATAATAAATATCCCAGTCCAAATTTATTCTTTTTATCTAAAGAAATAATGGCTTGTATTTTATGATCGTTGTAGAATGCTGTCAAGTTAATAAAATCTGCTATAGGTAGTTGATGAAACCGGTAAGGATTATTTGTGTTTAATTCAATCATGAATTTTTCTGGTAATAGTTTATAATGATTATTCTCGATTTTGAGTAGAACGTGTTTCAATGGATTTGAAATCGAAAAAAGTATATTACCAAACGAATTAGAGGAGTCTATGCGTAAAAAGTGTGAGCCTTCATTTTCATTCCAACCCAAATGAAGGTTGTTCGATTGTTGGATGAGCGAAGTGTTAGTAGATAGCAGCTCATCACTTATTTTAGTTGTATTATCACTAGTAAATACATATTTTCCAGATCCATTGACAACACTTTCGTCATTTTTCATTAAATTGAATTCTAATTTAATATAATCAGTTTGATTTACCTCACATTGGCTCCAATTTAAAATCGACGAATAATTTAAGTTTGGCATCGATAATTCGAGATAATTGGGTAATGGCATAGATCCACGCAAAGCTAGTTTGTGTGTATCCAAAGACTGATTGCGGTCAATGTCAAATTGAAGAAAGTAATTGCCAGGTGCTGTAGAGTAAGAAAGTTTGTACTTTAAAGATGAATCAATCGTTATAGCACGAATCTATAAATAGAATCGTATAAAATAAGACAACAACACAGTTGCTTTTCTCTCTTCTTGGCATATGCAATACATCTATATACCAAGAGATAAGAATTTCAATGGAAAATGGAAAAACCGGAATATAACAGAATATTGAGCGAAAGTTGGATTTGTTTTTTTAATCATTTTGTCTCACAATATTGACAGAAATAATAAAATTATGTTGAGAACGCTTTCGCAATATTCCGTAGGGTAATATTTACTCTCTAATGTACTACATTACAATGAATATTTAACCACTGAATGTTTAACAACTAGTTGAGGCTCTTAATATCAGCTTTGCATCGATAGTTTGTTGCACATTTTAACATGACTTTTTAAGTAGTTATAAGTGTAAATTTTGAACTTGGAATGTTGGTGAAAAGGATCGAAAATGTTGTTAGAGAAAATATTGCAGTAAAATTCTAAATAAGTTAGTTGGCATTCTTACTGCTATATTTTATCTCACAAGCAACAAAAATATTAGCAGTGGAAAAAACAAGGATATCGTTTTAGTAAAAGGTAAGATAAACAATCAGAAAATGACAACATATCGAAAGTAAAATTAATTTGGTACTAGAAGATAGTTCTTAACCAAAATGTTGAGGTTAATAACAATAACAAGATTACGAAATTGTTATTAAATCTAAAAGTAAACAAGCAAACAAAGAGAATCTATTCTAAGAAGAATGTGAAACCGAGGCAAGAAAGAGATATCAGCGATGATGAAGAGGTACGAGAATTGAACACTAAATGTAGTCTTTTCAGCTCATAAAATTAAACAACTTTAGTTTGAGAGAAAAACAATGCTTTTCGTTAGCTCGACTATGAAACGACTTCGTAAAATAAATGAACAGTCTAAGAGTATACTAGCAGTTAAGAAGCCACCAGTATAAATACACCACTAGTATCAACAGAAAACAGACAGTAAATCGTTGATGCGAAGCTTAGAACGAGAAATATTAGTCAACCTTCACATCGGCTTTCCAAAAGTGGCAAAAAGTCAGTTTTTTACTATAAAATTGCACGTTTTCCCGGAAAACGTTTAAACTTGGCGGCGTAAAAGTTTCAAAAAAGATATAGGCTAGCGTCGCTACTTAGAACAAGAACCTCCAATCGTGAAAAATCAATTCAACAGATCCTTCAAAAGTGTCCTGCTAGCTAGCACACACATACACACAAGGTTGCGAATGCATACCGTACAAGCAGTTGGTAGATAACTACTTTTTTCATATTCCAACATTCCACATAATTTCATGCCAAATAACGATAACAATCCTTGATAACATATCTCGTTAACAAATCGTTTTTGATTAATTGGCTTTATTAAGCGATCACCGATAAGTGGAAAGATGTTTCGTCTAAACAAAAAGTTGAAAACGAGAATAAAAGAAATATTATCAATTTTTCGATCTGATGATTAATTTACACATGTTGTTCATACAAAATATTCTAAAGACATGCAAATTCATTCAACAGCATCGAGATCGTTTGATTTAAGATAGTATAAATTTTGTGTACATATTTTGTCTATTTTTATGCAAATCTCTCGATAATTTACTAATCCAAGATTGAAAACACATACTCAATTTTAAACAGAATATTTTCTTTTTCCGGTATCCAACCAAAAATCATGTGCTCTTTCGCATGGGATGCAATCTGTGCAATAAATTTAATGTTTGAGAACAGAATATTAGTCATTTCAAATCCTGTACCGATCGATTGTGTGCCATGAAATAGACGTATAAAAACATTGAAATTTAGCCTAAAAAACGTAAATATTGTTGTTTAATATTGTTTGTTATGCTAATTAAAAAAAATTTACCGTCTACTTACGTTTGAATGAATTTGAATTCAACATCCGTATTTAATAGATTATGATTAATGTCAAAATCAACATTCAAATTCAATTTTAATGGAAATCCATCTAACATTAAAAATTGCCATTCATAATCAATATGAAATAAACGTTGGATCATATTAAAAATATCTTGAAGTGTAAGTGAAGAGAATGATCGTCCAAAATCTATTCCAAGATATGGTGCTATATTCACAATTTGTTTGTTATGAGTATTTTTATCATTAGTGACGATTAATACTTCTATTGTCTTCAAAAATATCGAATTTTAAAACAGTAAATATTTGTTCAGCACTGAAATAACTTACATTTGTATCAGTTTTTCCATAAGTTAACTTTTTTTCAATATCATTTAAATATATCGTCAAATAAATATTTGATAAATGAATCTGTAATACACTTGGAATTAACGAAATATTTGAATTAAATATGATATTTACAACACCAAATGGTAGTTGATATGAGGCCGATGTTTTCCAAATTGACGTTTGTTTTAATTCATTATCTATTTCATCGTAATCAGTTTCATATTCGTTTGTATTGTGAATATAGATAATAACGCACCTTAATGAAAAGAGAAAAGTCGCGAATAATTATTCGAAACAGCATCCTAGTGAATGTATTTGCCCAAGTACCCTCGCAAGTTTTGTCCAACGTTCATGGCTTTTTTCGCAAGTAAATCAAGTATTTGAACTAATTAATCTGCTTGTCAAACACTTGACTAAGTGCTTGCCCAAGTAACTCGCAAGTACCTGAGGAAAGTTTGACAAGTAAATAGCAAGCTTAGCAAGTGCTACTCTTGAATAAATTCTACAAGCACTTGAAGTACTTGGTAAGTACATGACAAATTATATGTGTGTGTTCGTAAAATAATGTTTATTCTGTTGTTTTATTTGTATTTTGACAGAGCGAACGCGTGAGAAACAATTTTGATGAATGTGCTTATAAAACGCTACTCATATAATCGTGGCTGTGTAAGGAGTATGATCACTCGTGTTATTTCCATTTGCTCAACTATTATCAGATGAACTTTCTGCTAAACCTTTTTGATATTTTAGTGGGATATCCTGTCTTCATAAATCCAGTTTCATAAATTACACATTTATGAAACTTGGAAAGAGGTTTCATAAAATTTAAGAAACTTGGATGTTGAATTTATTAACCCAGAAGTTACATAAAAATTTTAATATGGCTCTCAGAGAAATATTTTCTTAATTAATTAGTCTCTTAGACAATCTCTTAGAGACCTATTGTTGTTAATTAAACTGATTTAATTGATCAATTAAGGTAACTGCATAT